CAACTCATCACATCCATGAGATCCTCACTAGGATAACAGCTAATTTCTCATTAGAAGCCATGGAGGGTAGAAAGCAGTGGAATGGCATTCAAAGTTCTGAAAGGAAAAAGAGCTGTCAGCCAATAATTTTCTATTCGATGAAACTGTTTTTCAGAAATGAATGACAAAACAAAACTACAGATTTTCTTTCACTTTGAGTCTCTCTGATCCCTTTTAAGGGCTCAGCTGATTAAGTCAGGCCTACCGCAGATACTCTCCCTTTGGTTAACTCAAAATCAGCTGATTAGGATACTTAATTACATCTGCAGAAATCCTTTCTGCCGTGCACCGTAATCACGGAATTGATAGTTACCATCTTCCAAGTCCTGCTCACTCTAGGGGAGGTGATTATATAGGGTGTATATGGTGGAGTGGGGAATTTTAGAGGGCCATCTTGGCATTTTTGGCTACCAAGGCTCTTTCAGTGGATTGACAGAAGTATTTCACAATTATTTCCTGATTTCTTAGATTTTATTTAAGGAGGGAGCTTTTTAACCTATATATGCAAATTGTGATGTGTTTTCAACTTACTTAGCAGATGTTAAGTAAGTACTGTGTATTCTGGGCACCCTTTGGATTTTTCTTTTATCATCTGAGATTCTGGATTATTTGGCTTTTAGTACATATCTAAGACTGACAAGTAAAAGCATTGGTATTTGATTCAAATAGGTGTGTTATAGCTTAGTTTTTAAACATATGTTCTGCTGCCCTAGAAGCTACTCAGCAACAAACATTAGGGCACTGCAGGTTAGTCCTTGGAGGTTGAATTCACTTTTATTTAAATGTTCTGTTTCTTGATATACCATCTGTTGGACATTTATAAATATAGTTGTCGCAAGCAGTGCAGCTGTCTTACCCAAGAATAAGATGTATTAGAAGCATTGCCTAAATGATTATAGTACCTAAATAAATTTAAATACTTAGAAATTATGATGTGGTATGGTATTTCTGCTCTAAGATCTAAAATTATCATCATTTTAAAGCTATATTGAATGGCCAGGCTTGGTAGCTCACTCCTGGGTAGATTGCCTGAGCTCATGAGTTTGAGACTAGCTTGAGCCAGAGCAAGACCTCATCTCTAAAAATAGCCGGGTATTGTGGCAGGCACCAGTAGTCCCAGCTACTTGGGAGGCTGAGGCAAGAGAATCGCTTTAAGCCCAAGAATTTGATGTTGCCAGGAGCTGTGATGCCATGGCCCTCTACCAAAGACAACAAAGTGAGACTCTGTCTCAAAAAAAACCAGACTGAATTAAAAATAAAATTGGGGCTTGGCTCAGTGGGTAGGGCACTGACCACATACACCGAGGCAGGTGGGTCTGAACCTGGCCTGGGCCTACCAAACAATGACAACAGCAACAACAAATAAAAATAGCCGGGAGTTGTAGTGGATGCCTGTAGTCCCAGCTACTTGGGAAGCTGAGGCAAGACAATTGCTTAAGCCCAAGAGTTTGAGGTTGCTGTGAGCTGTGACGCCACAGCACTCAACCCACAAATAAATAAAATAAAATTAGGACCATTCTTATTTAGGTACTTTAATACACTGCAGATAAAATACATGTCTGTTTTAAATAAACTTACATTTTGCATCACCTTTTATTTCCAGAGGATTTTTTCTTTCTGTTTAAGACTAATATTGTTTGTGACTATTTCCAGAGATTTTTTTGAATGTTATATCAGTTATTGTGGATATCTGGTGATTTTTGTTTGTTTCTTTGTTTTGTTTTTGAGACAGGAGTCTCACTTTGTCACACTTGGTAGAGTGCCATAGAGTCACAGCTCACAGCAACCTCCAGCTCTTGGGCTTAAGCAATTCTCTTGCCTCAGACTCCTGAGTAGCTGGGACTACAGGCACCCACCACAACGCCTGGCTATTTTTTTTTCTTGCAGTTTGGCCCGGGCAGGGTTTGAACCCTCTAAACCTCGGTATATGGGGCCGGCGCCCTACTCACTGAGCCACAGGTGCTGCTCAGTATCTGGTGATTTAAAATCAAACCAAGTCCATTTGTTTTTAGTGTCTTTAATTTCTTAAAAGCAGGGTAGGGTTATATTCTAAATGCTAGAAGAGTCCTTTGGTCTGAAATCTGAACAGATCAGACTCATCTGGAGAATATTAGTTTTATGCAAATAATTCCTGGGAAGTTTGTAGACAACATAACATATTTTCTAAATCTATCAGAATATATTTGTGAAAGTTCCTTTTGTTTTCTTGTTTGTTTTATTTTTTGAGACAGAGTCTCAAGCTGTCGCCCTGGGTAGAGTGCCAGGGCGACACAGCTTACAGCAAACTCAGACTCTTGGGCTTAATCAGTTGACTTGCCTCAGCCTCCCAAGTAGCTAGGACTACAGGCACCCATCACAACAATGCCTGGCTACTTTTTTTG